CTCAGCCATGTCTGCAAAGGTTGTGGACCACTGCACTCCTTTAGAATGAATGATCAGATTGCTTTCTGCCTGATGTCCAGATGAGTTCAACATGCAGTGAGGAACGGATATTTTGATTAGGAGGCGAGATTTGGGGGCCAGTACAGAGCACCCTGGAGGTGTCACCATAAGGGTTCTGCTTATTATGGGGCCAATTGCTTTGAAATATGGTGTAAGGTAGGATTTATAGTAACCAGGACTCAGGCTAAGGGTTAGCAAAAAGGAGAATCTACAGAGAGTCACAAACCAGTGGATTTGGGGCCTGAAGGCAGCCCAAAGATGTCTTTTTTTCCCTTTTCCCCCTGCTCTATGTTTTCTAATTAAATGAACATTTAAAAATAGGATTTCCACCTTCTCTTAACAAATCAGATGATCTGAGCCCTCATTTCCACATGGGAACCATTGGTCCCCCTTTAGAAGGATGCTCGTTTGGAGTTTGCCGTGGTTCCCACCACTCCCGATATCCTCCCCAAGCCCGAGAGCCCAGCAGCTTGAAGTATTAATAGGTCACGATGATGACTGGACCGCCAGGATTCTTCACTCACTGATATGGCTCATCTTGGTCCCTGTGCTGGCTGTGGGTCTGTGACCTTTCGTTTAGAGGTCAAGTCTAGGGGCTTTGAAACAAACTTGGGTTTGAAACCCGGTTAGAGTTGCTATTCATTTGAAAGGCACTGAGCTGGAGATTAAAGGAGACAGTGCATGCTTCCCAGCACCTGCAGGAGGGCAGGCCACAGAGGGCAGGCTGCAGAGGGGAGGCCACAGAGGGCAGGCTGCAGAGGGGAGGCCGCAGAGGGGAGGCTGCAGGAGGGCAGGCTGCAGAGGGGAGGCCACAGAGGGCAGGCTGCAGAGGGGAGGCCACAGGGGGCAGGCTGCAGAGGGGAGGCCACAGGGGGCAGGCTGCAGAGGGCAGGCCACAGAGGGCAGGCTGCAGAGGGGAGGCCACAGGGGGCAGGCTGCAGAGGGCAGGCCACAGGAGGGCAGGCCACAGGAGGGCAGGCCACAGAGGGCAGGCTGCAGAGGGCAGGCCACAGGAGGGCAGGTGGGCAGGCTGCAGAGGGGAGGCTGCAGGAGGGCAGGCCGCAGGGGGGAGGCCGCGGGAGGGCAGGCTGCAGAGGGCAGGCCGCGNGTCTAGGGGCTTTGAAACAAACTTGGGTTTGAAACCCGGTTAGAGTTGCTATTCATTTGAAAGGCACTGAGCTGGAGATTAAAGGAGACAGTGCATGCTTCCCAGCACCTGCAGGAGGGCAGGCCACAGAGGGCAGGCTGCAGAGGGGAGGCCACAGAGGGCAGGCTGCAGAGGGGAGGCCGCAGAGGGGAGGCTGCAGGAGGGCAGGCTGCAGAGGGCAGGCCACAGAGGGCAGGCTGCAGAGGGGAGGCCACAGGGGGCAGGCTGCAGAGGGCAGGCCACAGGGGGCAGGCTGCAGAGGGGAGGCCACAGGGGGCAGGCTGCAGAGGGCAGGCCACAGGAGGGCAGGCCACAGGAGGGCAGGCCACAGAGGGCAGGCTGCAGAGGGCAGGCCACAGGAGGGCAGGTGGGCAGGCTGCAGAGGGGAGGCTGCAGGAGGGCAGGCCGCAGGGGGGAGGCCGCGGGAGGGCAGGCTGCAGAGGGCAGGCCGCGGGAGGGCAGGCGGGCAGGCTGCAGGAGGGGAGGCCGCAGGAGGGCAGGCGGGCAGGCTGCAGGAGGGGAGGCCGCAGGAGGGCAGGCGGGCAGGCTGCAGGAGGGGAGGCCGCAGGAGGGCAGGCGGGCAGGCTGCAGGAGGGGAGGCCGCAGGAGGGCAGGCGGGCAGGCTGCAGGAGGGGAGGCCGCAGGAGGGCAGGCGGGCAGGCTGCAGGAGGGGAGGCCGCAGGAGGGCAGGCGGGCAGGCTGCAGGAGGGGAGGCCGCAGGAGGGCAGGCGGGCAGGCTGCAGGAGGGGAGGCCGCAGGAGGGCAGGCGGGCAGGCTGCAGGAGGGGAGGCCGCAGGAGGGCAGGCGGGCAGGCTGCAGGAGGGGAGGCCGCAGGAGGGCAGGCGGGCAGGCTGCAGGAGGGGAGGCCGCAGGAGGGCAGGCGGGCAGGCTGCAGGAGGGGAGGCCGCAGGAGGGCAGGCGGGCAGGCTGCAGGAGGGGAGGCCGCAGGAGGGCAGGCGGGCAGGCTGCAGGAGGGGAGGCCGCAGGAGGGCAGGCGGGCAGGCTGCAGGAGGGGAGGCCGCAGGAGGGCAGGCGGGCAGGCTGCAGGAGGGGAGGCCGCAGGAGGGCAGGCGGGCAGGCTGCAGGAGGGGAGGCCGCAGGAGGGCAGGCGGGCAGGCTGCAGGAGGGGAGGCCGCAGGAGGGCAGGCGGGCAGGCTGCAGGAGGGGAGGCCGCAGGAGGGCAGGCGGGCAGGCTGCAGGAGGGGAGGCCGCAGGAGGGCAGGCGGGCAGGCTGCAGGAGGGGAGGCCGCAGGAGGGCAGGCGGGCAGGCTGCAGGAGGGGAGGCCGCAGGAGGGCAGGCGGGCAGGCTGCAGGAGGGGAGGCCGCAGGAGGGCAGGCGGGCAGGCTGCAGGAGGGGAGGCCGCAGGAGGGCAGGCGGGCAGGCTGCAGGAGGGGAGGCTGCAGGAGGGGAGGCGGCAGGAGGGCCGGCGGACATGGCAGGGCTCCCTATTCTGCCGCGCTCCCTGCACGCCCAGCCAGGGCCTGGCACAGAGCAGTAACCACGTGTTTAATGGATGGATGAAGGTTGGCTTTGGCGGGATTTTATTCTTATTACTGTCGTTATTATTTAATTCTCTCCGAAGGGTATTTTCACCGCTGCTCTTTCTATAGAGAGCGGAG